AAGACAAGAAAGTTTTAAGTATATACTATTTCAAAATTAATTTTAGGGTTGTATTTCTAGTTTATATTAGAAAATTTAAAAAATGCTCAGATATAGGCAGATTGAGGATATTGACAAAATTTTGTCACTCATAAAAATCCTCACAACTGGAACAAAAGGCAGCATTATAATAATTGTAGAAAAGATTGAAATTGCCTAGAATTTCATTTTACTTGGCTCCAATATACAAGAATGTAGCATTCGTGCATAGATGGAGCGGCTGGGGACTTTAAATTCAGAGAGGGAGAGGGGCTGTGTGCTGACGACTGGGGGGCAGGATTGCAAGGTAAACCCTCAGTCAGTTGATGATGTATGCAAGGGATTGTAACCATTGCATTGAAATTATATATGGTAGGATGAATGTTAAACTAATGTTCTCCCATGTAAACTATTACATAATTCACAATAAAACATTAAAAAAATGATGTAGTAGTCCAGAAATCAAGGAACTTAGTGCATTGGGTGGAGTCATTAATGACTTATTTAAATTGTTTAAAAGCACAGTTGTTATTATTTTAGAAGTGAGATAAACCTAACTTAAGCCATGATATTTTCAATCATCCCACCAGTCTATGATAGCTGGACAATTAAGACAAAAAATAGAAGATGAACTGCTTCCTTTAAATTTATAGTGCTGGCAAAGAATATTGAAGATATCATAAAGTACAATAAAACAAAAATAAAAACAAATACATTTGTTTTGGAAAGAAATCACCAGAATGCTCCTGAAAATGAAGGATGGCTAGACTTGTCTTAGTACTTTGGATAAATTATCAGCAGGGATCAGACCAAGGATAAAGACATTATATTTGCAGACAGTGGACAGAAAAAGGAAGGGATTCAGCCAATGAAGTCACACAGTGGTTGCAACAACAGGCTGGAAAAATCATGCTTGTGAGGATGGTGCTAGACCAGCACTGGTCCACTGGGTCCCTATGAGCAGGACTGACTTGGTATCAACTAAAAGCAAGAACAAATTGTTTCTATGTCTTTTTAAATAAATGCTGTCATTCCTAAAGTAATATGTATAGTTTGGGCTGTTTCATACTATTGCAAGTATTAATTCTTTCCTTTTAGAACGATTCTTTCATTTTCTAAGTATTGGACTGTGAACCACAATGCTTACAGTTCAAACCCACCAGCTGATTCTCAGAAACCCTTTACAGTATCACCGAGTCAGAACTGACTGATAGCACTTAACAGATATTACATGAGCACAATGTTCTCATATTTACATTGATTTAAAGTAGAAAAATAGTCACAATTTTTATGTCTCAGATAATTTAGTATCAGTAAAATAAAATGCATAATAAGGGCTTTGCCGAAATTAACAATTCTAAGTGCTCAGCATAAGGGTGTACAATAGATGTTACAGTCCACAGGGTACAGATAATGTTATAAGTACAAATATTGGCTGAGAATTCCTTAAGAAATTATCATTTGTAAGTTGATTTTTTTGTAGTTTTTTTTAAAACACATTTATACTTTTTTTTTAAGACCTCACAGCATTTCTGCAATAAG